TGTAAGCATAGCTTTTGATTTGTATGGTGTTTTACAGCTTCTCCCACCTTCACTCTCCCCTTTTGAAGACCCAGTTTGTATCTCCTAGAACTATTTCTTCCTCTATAGTTTTTTTTATTCCTACCGTTACACACAGCCACGTACTCAAATCCCAATGCCTAATCACGTGGGTACATTTGAACCAAGATTGCAGCCATTAATGGTAAGCACCCAATCTTGATGATCCTATGGAAAAATAGGGGACTGTGAACAGTCTGTTATTCTTATCAACCCATGTGGCTTCAGTGTGATGGTTGCTAGGGTAGTGGGAGGGTGTGGGACTCATGTCTTGATTGCTGCTGGGGACCCATTTTAAAATGTGGGTTGGTAGATCACCTCAGGTATGTGTTTGTCGTAAATTAGAACCCCAAGCATTTAAGGGCACCTACCCTCTTCTTGTGATGTCCAGTTTGCTAGGAAACCATTTCATGGCCTTAATAATGCGCTTTTCACAAGGAGATGTCTGCCTCTGTCTTAACCAAGTTGTGTCAATTACATTTTTCTACCTTTGCTATACTCAATCTACTCCGTAGTAACTCAAAATATTCATCTTGCTGTCTAATATGGGTGATAATCAGCAACACTTTGCTTTTCAGATGACTCGTATTGTTTTACCCCACATGTGCAAAAGGTAGGCTTCGATACTGGTCACATCATACCTTTGAAACAGACATCATTTCAGTGTTTTTGTACCTCTTACAAGGTTTTCTTTGCTGTCTCCATGCAGGAAGCGTGGTGCTATCATTAACATGTCATCTAGTGCTGGTCTGCTGCCAACTCCTCAGATTGCAGCTTATGCTGCAACTAAGGTTGTTTACTCAATTGTTTTCTTTGAAAACGTTACTTTATGTTATAGAATTTATGCAAGAAGTATAAAGAATAGTATGCACATCGGACTAAACTCCAGGGCCGTTTTGCTGAAAGGCCAATAAGCACTGATCCAGGATGAACTTTTCAATCCACAATTGTATTAACTTTCTTTTAGATTTGTTTTGAGTATCAAATTGGTCTAACAAAATTGGATTTTATAGTAAAGGCTCGTCAATTTTTTTAAAAAATGTTCCTAGACAAGAAAACCTTGCTTAAAATTTGGAAGTTAATCGTAATCTGTGAAGTGGATAAAGAGGATACAGTAATCATTGTTTCTTTACTGATACTAGCCCGGGACAAAATGAAAGATCTTGGGTTCGACAGGATTCGAACCAACTAACTATGGCGTTATTACTTATATTTTTTGCAGGAGTTTGTTGACAGCTTTTCTCGTGCTTTGGCTTATGAGTATTCTTCACAAGGTGTCGAAGTTCAGGTTTGTTGCCGACATCCATTTCTTGTTTTGTTGGTGAAAAATTAAATATCATTAATTTATTATTGTATCAAGCAAATCAGCTAATGTTGTAGTCATGGTAAAAATAGACGACTTTGATAGGTGGGCGAACATGGGGACTCTTCTATCCGAGTTGTGTACTATTTATAAAGCTGTCTTCTAGTTAAAGTCTTTTTATCACTGACTTCCGACTTCAAGGGGGCTTTAAGCTCCTTCATGTGTTTACTTGGCTGCTCATTCCCAGTGACGCCCGGCTGTGGCAGTTGACTTGTAAATACTTGTTTGTTTTTCTTCACTTCACAGTCATTGAGACCATTTTATATCGCCACAGCAATGACATATGGTACCAAGCCAAACGTTTTTGTTCCTTCTCCAGAGACGTACGTAAAGAATGCTCTTCGAACACTAGAATTGTCGACACGGAATACAGGTTACTGGAATCACGAGATCCAGGTACTGCCACCTACCTACTCTACTTACCTTAAAAGACACTTAGGCGCAACCTGTTCACAGACGTGTGTGGAGAAATAGAACGAGCGCGAAGCGCAAAAAAACGTTTAACAAATTTAACCACCCCTCCCCTTTGCGTTAGTGGTCAAGAAGTTTCTAGCCTACCTTCCAGCTGGACTAGTCACTCGAGACCTAGATAGAAGCAGGCTAGAAGTCCCCGCCCCCCGCTTTTTATTTTCATAGGTGTAAAAAATAGACAGTCAGTTAACAGGTTTAATTAGGAGTGAGCCCGGACACACTGACGCCTAGATCTAATCCCCTCCTCTTACTTACAGCCTTTGCCTACTGAAATCATGCTATGCCAATACTGTCGTAGAGACTCTCCTCTTCTAAGGAGACACGTGACGTGACACATAAATATTGTAACTCCGATCAAATAAACCGACTGGTCTTATCAGCTTACAATTCATGCTAGAGGCCAATCTTTGCCAGTCAAGTATATTTTGTTTGTGGTTGTTTCTTTTTAGGCATTGTTCCTTGGATTCTGTCCCGAATGGTTGTGGATGTGGGGTGGCAGCATTTTAAATCAGCAGATTCGTAGGAATGTTCTCAAAACCAGAAGATAACTTTCGTGGAACTTCTAGCTACACTAGAGCATGGGCGACTGTCCTTTTTCAGACTCTGGATTGGAAGCTATTCAACATGAACTTGCTAGGACTTTAAGAAATCGTTCTCACCTAAACTCCCGAATACCGACCATTTCATTTTCACCTCACTGAATTAAAAAAAAACCCAACTGTGTTATGCCTCTTTCTTCAAAGCGCTCCTAGCGTTTAGTATTTACTTCGCACATTATAGTAATCCTTTCTGCGCTAATACTCTACCGTGGTTATAAAGGTCTTGATTTGCGATCTGTGCGTGACTGTAACACTCGGTTATAAGCAAGAGGCCGTCTTACCCTGACGGCCAAGTTGATTAGGTATTGGCTTGTTAACTCAAGCTAGGACGCACACATTCAATAGACTTTTTTGTGACACCTTTAGTCAGTAAGTACAGGGCAAATGGAGATTTCCTGTTAATAGTGACAAGAAGTACAAACAAAAAACCGTTTATCAAATTTTCTTTATGCTTCCTGTGCAGTGAATGTTCTTCTAGTTGTATTGTATTGTATTGGGGGAATAGTGGAATTTGGATAATACGGTAGTGTTGTACTGTTTCCATTGAAAAGGCACACTGAATCCGAAGCGCCCCTACGGAGAGACCCGTGAAACTGTTGTGTAGTGAATTAAACTGGCTATTTCAAGCATTTGTATTTACCTGCTGTGAAATAGTGACTGGGCTGAATTTATTGCTTTGCCTGAACGAAGGGTGTTTCTAATTGCAACTCTCAGATTGAGCGTGACACTAAAACGAAAGTTGCTTCACCAGAACTTCCGCCCTTTCCTGTTGCCGAATAGCTGATATAAACTTTGGTAGACTTGGGTGTTGCAAGTGACTACCTGAGGCACACGAACTTGATGGGAAAAAGACCTCCTGGCATAATTAACAAACAACAGAATCACTTATCGGCTTCAGTTTATAAAAAGCTTTGTGATACCAGGTCAGGATGAGTAGGAAGTGATTCTGAAACAGCCTCTCTTTCTCGTTTTCTCTTCCACAGAAGCTAACCTTCTCTTAACTTTTGATCATTTGTCTTGGACAATAGTATTTAGCCATTGGTCGCATAATAACCGCGTTTTCTCCCCATTTGTGCACGTTGCATACAACTCCAACGTAATGTAAAGGTTACGCCGTATACAAGCCATTGAGGCTCACAAGGGCGGAACTCAACCCGATTTTTGTAGCACGAGTTACGTCTTCCAGGATGGGATGCTAGTGCATCACAGAGTTACCCTACCATTATGTGACTGGTTCCCACATATACACCAGGCTGAAGAAAGACATTTGGGCAAAGTTTATTGTGTAACGAAACAACGGGACTGTAAGACTTGATGCCAGACCTACGAAACCTTAGAAGAAATCTCGTGAGACTGCCCTTTCGATTTACAAATCATCTCTGTCCAATAAATAGTCATGATTACATCGCACCAACTAACAGGTCAACAATCATGACACACCAATAAGTGCTCCTGCTGGCGTCATGATGTACATAAGAATTTAATGCAATAACAGTGCTTTTGACGTGTATATTTTGAGGCATTTGGCAAGCCGCTTTAGGAAGTAGTTGAAAGATTCAAAAAAGTAGTATCTTGGTGTTGTGCAAGTTCACACATTGCGGTTATACAAACTACTACTCAAGTCAACACGGACACTTAAGAAACTCGCAGGCGACTTAGTGAATCCAAAGGGCACAAGGTAATGAAATTACAATTGCTGGCACGCAAAATGGCCTTTAAACAAAATTCAGCTTGAGCAACCCATTATCAGCATTTTTTTTCTCAAGTACCCAGGCAATGTAATCACGGATGTGAAGAAATGTGTGAAATGGGGAAAACAAGAAAGAAACTTGAACGAAGTTCATAATACAAATACAACACATACGTAGACGCCCGCACAAGTAGCTTAATAGGGACCTTAACATCAGACGACGGCAACGGGAACTTCATAAAAGCAATAGGTTTAATTAGCAAAACAACAATTTTGCACGTGGGTGACACTTTGTGTACATTTCTTTTCCGTTTCTGCACGACTGCAATACAATACAATACAATACAATAATTTTATTTAAAGAGGGAAGCGCAATAATCTGTTACAGTTTTCTAACCTACGGCCCTACGACGTGAAAATGCCTAATTTCATGTTTTATAGAGGACATAAAACAAGCAACGACGAAATTTTCTTTCTCTTTCTTAAAAGAGAAATAAAGCTCCTAGGAAATCAACTCCAGGAGGGTTCGCTACTTTCGACAAAGTAAGCGAGATGGAATTATCGCGATGAAGATTGAAAAACCGCTAATTCCCCGTTTTACCTGCTGTCGCCATCCTCGCATTTTACGGTCCCTAACAGCTGGCCGAGGGGGGCCAGTTCTTTTTGTTATTAGTCTTAATTAAATTTTTACAATGATTGGAAGCAAATGTATTAGATTAAAACTACTTCACAAATTGAACGTCAAAGAAAGATTAGAATACGATTTTTTGAAACATGAACAAGTAAAAACTAACTGCACATTGTACCGAGGCCCCCTGCGACCCCAAAAACGAGTTTAAAAAAGAGTTCAAACAGAGAAAATTCACAAGAGGCCAAGCCAGACGCACGACCCCAGCAATACTTTCAAAACAATTCGCAAGACCACCGAAAGATCGTCCGTATAGCGCCATTCTTAAACTCAGAGAATAAAACGAATTTGCTTCTTACCACTCGCTTTTGTACAGCCGCCCCCTCCCCTCAGACGAAAAAGTCGAGAAGAGGGACGTGTGTATCGCGCCGTCCTTAATCGTGTTCTGGTTTCCCCATAATGTCGGGGAAAGCCTCTGATTGGCTGTTAAGTTAATGCCATGACGTAAGTAATTTCGGGTGTTGTGATTGGTGAATGAATCTCAGAATTCCCCGGGAACCAGAGGTACTTGCCTACTATTATAAACAAAACATTTCTTTCTGGAAACAAAATTGTTAAGTAAGATTTCTGATGTTTGCTGCACCGATTGCGGGTGCATGTGTTCTCTGCTGCGTGGTTATTGCGAAGAAAAGAGGCACGAATTTTGTCCATGGACGTACAAAAATCAACGAAAAAAATTAAAATTCTTCCTATTTGCTTCGTAAATAATAAGAAAAGAAGAGCTCTTATTTCTAATGAAGAGAAGTGAACTATTCTTTACGAAAACCTATGCATTCAAAATCATCGAATGGATCAGCTACTGCATAAAGCGTTTCATCGGAAGTGCAAACTGTTGCCGAAAGTAAACTTCTTTTAACACCAAAAGCAACGGCAAATCGATGTACAGGAAAGACTGGCTTCATGACCCCAATGACAGAAGAAAATGCACTTTAGAATCCTCCAAAGCATAACATACTCGTCAAAAAGAAAAGATTTAATACAACCAAATGACATTTTAGCTGAGACGTTCTAGTAAGAGCCAAACTATAGAGGATATAAAGGCTGAGAATAACTGCTTGCGCGCTGTACAAGAGTCGTGTTGGTCCGTCAAAACCTTTTTAACTGTCAGAGGAAAAACAAACAAAAATGTTTACGCAGATTACTCGGAAACGCGATAAACGATGGAGCAACATAGACGTCGATTTTTTCTCAATTTTGTTTGAGGGGAGAGGGCGGCTGTACACACGCTTCTTTACAATACCACCACTTTAGAAAGAATACACCACAGGTGGCCCAGACACACAACAGCCTACTGGAAGCCAAATTATAGAAATAGCATAGGAGTTTATTGTAGGATCGATAAAACGGTGTACATACCTCACAAAGAGTTGTGTCTCTGTTACCTTCTAACAGTTTCCCGCCTGACTAATGGGCTCCTGCAGACAAGGGTACACCCGGCTTCTCAACGCTGCCCGAAGAAAAAGCTAAAAAAATTAGCTTCGTTCCACTCCAATCGCTCCAAAACTTCGCTTGAGCTTAGATCGAAGATTATTTCCTTTCTCAAAAATGTCAGTTTAGTTCCAAACATCGAGTCATGACCTCAAGAGTAGCAAAAAATTTGAGTTTCCGTTTATCCGCTCTTCTTCGTAGTGTACTACAGATGGCCGTTGCTTTGGCTCAGTACTGAAAATGCTTCACACACCTTGAGCAACGTGGGCACCCGTGTTTCTCCCACCCTTCAGTTTTTGTAAAAATTAGCGAAAGCGTTTCCTGGGTACCCTGTGAATGTGGTTTGTACAAGCATTGGTCAAGACAACCCTAGCATTTCATGCAATATAATCTGACTTGTCCAAACTGCGAGGTGGGAGGTGTTTAGACTGTTTAGCACACAGAAACTGGTGGAAGATAGTCTCACTAGTAATCCTTTCTGAGCTAATTCCCTACCGTGCAGTATAAAGATAGTGATCAGCCAAAATGGAGATATCTTCAAACAAGCAACGATTGTAAAACTAGGTTATTAACAATCTCTTTTCCAGAGGCCGCCTTGCATTTATACAGCAAAGAGCCTCACTGGCTTATCAATGACTTGTTATCTCAAGCTACAACGTAATTTTTCTCAGAAGTACACATTCAATGGACCTCGTATTGACAGTTATCTTTTGGATAGAACAAATGGACATTGTCCCGCTTATAATGATAAGGACTAAAAACGATAAACAATATATCAAATTTTCTCTATCCTACCAACGGAGAGAATCTTTCTTCTTTTAGTTTGAAGGAAAATTTAGTAAATCGTAGTTCACGCATAGCAACAACCTCCGTGTTGAACTGTTTGCATTGGAAAGGAATACTAAACCTCAAAGCGCCTCCACAAAGAAACAAATGGAAATGCTGTGTAGTGAAAAAACTTTGATAACTTCATTAAGCGTCCGTATTGGCCCGTTCTGAGTACGTGCCTGGCCCGACTTCAGATTGACCTACCCAATGTTTCTAGTTTTTCAGCAAATGGCGTTTTTCATTGCGACTATCAGAATAAGCGCGACCCTAAAACGAAAGGTGTTTTTATTGCGACTATCAGAATAAGCAGCAAAACTTCCGCCCTTTCGTGTTGCGAATAACCGATAGAGACTGGTGAACTTTGGTGTAGTAAGTGGTTACCTTGAGCACGTGCACTTGATTAAAAAGAAAACCATCTGGTACAATAGACATACAAAAGAAACACAAATCGCCTCCAGTTTAGGTTTGTGGTAACAGATCAGGACAAGAAGGAAGTGATCTTCGAACGGCTTGTCTTTCTCGTTTTCTTTTTCACGGAAGCTAACCTTCCTCCAACTTTTGATCATTATTCTTTGACACACGTTCCTTGCCAAAGGTTGCACAAAAATGGCATTTCGCTCCGTACGCATACATTTCTAAAGTAATCTAAAGGTAAAGGCGAACACGAGTCAATAGAGCTCACAAGGTCGTCGCTTAACCCAGTTTTTGTAGTACGAATTGCTTTTCTTTCCTGGATGGGATACTAGTCCATCGCAGGGTTTCCCAAGCATTATGTGAACAGTTTCCATTGTGCACCTGGGAGACGAACAACAAGTGTAGTATAGCTTCTTATCTACGGAAAACACGACAGAAAGGCTTATACACTAAGACGCCCTAGTTTCACATTTTATGTAGATCGTGAATATTAGACATAAGAGTTTTCGTTTTGTCTTTCTGAACTTAGATACGTTTCTTTAGAATATACTTTTGAAAAATTCGCCAACTCTAGACTAATTGAACGAGATGGAACTAGAGCGGTCAAGCGTGAAACATCGCGAATTCACTATTTTTCAGTGACATTTTCGCTATCGTTGCTGTCGTACTTCCTAATATATAGTCGAGATTATGTCGTACTAACAGGCCAATAATGAAATAAGGCACTAATAAGAATTTCTGCTGGTGGGTAGCCAAGTGGTTTTTCAGGTAGATATACATACGTGAATTTCATGCCGTAGCAGTGCTTTTGACCTATATTTTGAGGCATTTGTCAAGAATATACACAAGTTGTGATTGCAAACCACCACTCAATTTAACGCAGACACTTTGAAAAGCCGCGGGTGGCTTAGTTAGACCAAAGGGTACACGCTTATGAAATGACAATCACTTTCAAGATGGACCTGGACTAAAAAGAAACACATCAATTCATCATAAAGAGGATGAGTAACCCACAGCCAGTATTTTTCGTTAATAAAGTCAGCTCTGGCAATGCAACCGTGGAAATAATGAAAAAAAATAAGTCAAAAGAGTAACAAGTGAAGCAGCACAAAAGCGCGTGATTCCTTCGTCTATTGGCCAACTTGTTTATTTTCTTACAAATTTTTCGACTGAGAAAATCGAGATGAATTATTTCAAAACGCCTTTTCTCTTATCACTTTCTGTTATAATACTTTGCTTGGTTTGACGCATGCAGACGTTGTTGCTCAGAGAAAAATCAGTGCAATGTACTTTACAATACAATATTTATTGAACATTTCTGCAGGGACTTTTGAAGAACTAATCTCATAGCTTTAGAAGCTAATAAATGCACCTTAAACGAGTAAAAATACAATTAGCGAAAAAGATGCAGATAGAAATTCACATTGACAAAAATGTCTCCAGAGCATCGGTAATTCCTTCAAATTACAGGAATTTTCTTCCATGTAAAAATGTGCATTTACTTGCATATTAGACTATATAAAATAAAAAAAAGCTTGCGCGATGGTACAATCATTTCCACAAAATAAGCCTTTAAATTCAACCTCTGGAGTGAGTTTATTTGCTGCTTAAACAAGCAATAATTGGGAAAATCCACGTCGACAAACAGACATCTCGCGCTTTCCCAGCTGCATTTAATGTGGATCCTTACTATCTAAGAATACATCTATTTTTGTTGTCTTTGCACATTATATTTTTTATGGACCTTTTATTACAAAGTCCATTTATAACATCTTGGTGTTTTCGATTGTTAGCATTCTGCTCTTATTCCGGGAAATGACTTCATCACCATGTACCATCTCCTCAGCTCACTGATCCATCCTCTGCTGTGACTCGCCAAGCTGAGATGGGCCACACATGATATTTAACGGAACAGCTTCATCTGTGAATACAATGCACCACAGTCAAAACGCCCTTTCACTCCTAAACAAACTGTTTTTTTTACGCTGGCCACTCTTAAGAGTAGAAGGGTTAACTTTAACCCAGGGTTAAACCAATTTTAACCAAAATTTCCTTGTCTAGAAATTCGCAAATGGAGCTTACTAAATGAAACATTTTATTGAGTTGTTTCTCTAGAGACATGGTTTCTTTTAACTAACAGATAAAAAAAGTAATGTTAATCTTGGGTTTGCGCCAACACCATTTTGAGATACCGAGTTCACGTTTCAGCTACTACTGCATTGACCAGAAGGTAACCAAACTCGAAGTTATCTGAGCACTCTTTTTTTGATACAATTCATACAATTGCTATGCCAACTGACGCATTCAGTCCGGCTGTTGCAGTAATGTTAATCACTAATAAGAATTAATTGTACTAAAAGTCCATAAAAAAACAACAGTAAGCTTTAGCAAAACGAAACCGGCCTACGTCTTGTGTACGAGTTCACGTTTCTTGAATTGACTGTCACATGTCAAAAAATTGACAGACAAAGGTCTAATATCCGGTAAACTATAGTTCAGCCACAAAGTGTCTTACCCATTTTTTTTGGTTTTGTTAATCCAAGACTTTTCATGATTTCAACAAATTCTTCTTTTGATTTGGTTAAACGTGGATTGTGTCTCAACTCCTCAGCAACAGTGCTCACAGTCATACCTGACACATGGATAGAAGATTTTAAGCAAACTAAATAACAGTTAACCTGCCTGTTTGAGTTGTGGTTCTCAGTGGCGTGGCCAAAACAACAACTCAAACAGGCAAAAAGTGGGACGATCTATCCTTGGTACCTTGACTGAGGAATGTTTAGCAGATTCATGCACATGCAATGTTCGAATTCATTTGAGTTAAACTAAAGGCAAAACTACACCCGAAAATAAATTCTGTTATCATTCTAAGTGATCACTCTAAGTTATAATTTCACTGAACATTGAATGAAGAAAGAATGAAGATTTTTCATTGTACTAACCATGGTAGTCATGGGCTGGATACAGCAAGTAGTCCTCAGGAAGTGATAAGATTTTGCTTGTTACTGAATCATATAGCTTTACAGGGCTTCCTAGAAAAAGCAAAACAACGACACTTTAGCAAAGAGACTGGACAGTAAGAAGAGAAAGGGTATGTGAGCCACTTCTGAGAAGGTGGTGGCTAACCAGCTAATTAGTCAAAAATGGGTCGATTTAAGACAATTGTTAAAAAACTTAACTCATTCAGTCTTAATCTTTTAAGCAAAAATCACATTTTTTACTAATGGTTGGCTATTTGTGAAAATAGAGACAAAACTCAAACAACCACAAATGCATATTACATGTATCAGTGTAAAAGTAGTTACAGCTTCCTTTTGATTAATTTTTAAACAGTCAGATAAAATTGTGGGCTACTCAACGAGAAAAAAAGATAGTCAAGGGCACTTTTTCCCCCCATTATCCTTCATATTATAGCAGATGAAGCCACAAGTGGCAGGAATTGTCCTTTAACATGGCTTGCTAGTCAACAAGTGTGACTGGTAAGTCAGTACAGTACAGTACAGTTTAATCCATTAATAAGTAATCTCGTTTCTATGGAGTTGCATGCATTGATGACTACAGTTTGTCTTTTGACTCAGTTTACTAATCAAAAAGTGTGACTGATACAGTACAGTTTAATCCTCTAATCAGAAATCTTGTTACTAACGAGTTGCATTGATGACTACACAGTTCACCAATGCAGTGAATTAAACCACTCTCGCAGCTGACCACTTTGTCTGTTCAATAGAAACATTTAATAGTTTTGAGATACTGGTAAAATTTACCTTTTGTATGTAAGTCCAGCCAACCTCTCCCATGGGATATCCCCAGGGGGGTACTCCCCTAGTAAACTGATGGGTGTGCTCGTCGTACCTTTTAGGGGTTTAAATTTGTGGACTGGTACCGCCTATGGTGCTAATACCTGAAATGACTGCTGCCAGATAAAGATTTATGACAATACTTTCAAAAAGTTTGAAAGTTATCCTTACTACTATTAAAATTTTGCAGTGTGAGTTTTATAATTTTTTGTTGTTGAATTGGTTCCTCTTTATAGGGGTGGAAATGAACTTGGGACACGCCCATGAGACAAGATTCTGGTACCTTTTAGGGGTGTTCTCGAAATTTTCTGACGAGCACCCTCTTGACTTTTGTAGGGGAGTACCCCTCCCGCCCACAGGGGAATTTCAGCCAAACTTTCATGGGTATTGCATGGTGTAAAGAGGTTCACTTCTTTGGTCTGTGCATGTTGTGGGAGAGTGAAAAAAAAATGCCTTGGCAAATTCATGTAAGTTTATGAAGTAATTGCCTCACCCAAAGAGATTCAAAACAATTGTTCCCTACTCAACTGCGGATTAGTATATTTTACTGCAACTAGACAAAACAGTTTTTCTCTCACCCTGTTGAAAGTCTGTTCGCCCACATGCTCTTATTAGAAGAGCATCTCCAGTGAAAGCTGCTCTGTTGATATGATCCACGTACGTTAGACATCCTAAAACCCACCACAATGTGTGTGAGAACCAACAACTGAGCAAACATGTTACATTGTACATCGTACAGAAGATCAACTTACACTTTGAGGTTAAGAGAAGGTGTTTTAAGGGTGGTGAATGGTAAAATCCGAGACTCGCTGAGACGCTGAGATCCTAGTTAGAAATCCGAGCCTGAGACTCTTTGGTAAAAAGTTTCGAGACTCAAAAAAAGTAAAAACAAACCATGCAAAAACGAGACTTCGAGACTTGTCAAAAACGCTTCTGAGATTTCGAGATCCTGCCAAAATTTTCCGAGACCCATGTTTTTTGAGGTACCATTCGCCACCCCTTGTTTTTAAAATCAGGTTTGTCTTAATTACTCAAACTTATGTTTTAACAGAAATGGTACAACTGCAATATGCACACTGAACCTCAGGGTATCAACACTGCATGATTTAAAAAAAAACTTTATTTGTAAAACTTGCCATCTGTATGTCCTGGAGTTGAACGTACATCAAGAGCCTATAAAAGAAGTTTTTACAATTTACTAAAATACACCACCTGTATTAATTTTTTTAACTATGGTTATGTTGGTGAAGTCAAGAAGAGAAAGGTGAGAAAGAAGTTGTTGATAGAATTCAATTGCACAAAATTCTTGAATTGGACAAAATATTTATAAATAATCAGGTGACATCATGATGTAAACTGGATTATCCGGGAGAGTTGACAGCACTGCTTATAAATAGCACTTTTATCAATGTCTTTTTAGCAAACCTGATCTCCAAAGTCAACTGTATCTCCTTCATGTACAAACACATCAGCTTTAGCACCACTCAGCTTAGAGATAACACTTTTGCAGCCTGTGAGACTCTTAAGAATTCCTGTACCAGTTACATGATCAGCATGAACATGTGTGTTCACTGTGGGGAACAAACAAATTTCTGTTGATCAGTTTTATGCTGTTTACTGGTACCACGTCACTGAAATTGTAAGACACAAATTGAAGTTATTTTCACTAATATTAAATTAAGTTGACAATCAATCAATTAAAAATAAACAGTACATCCAGGAAACACTTGGCCTTAAATTCAGATTCAGATCCTACTGATAACTACATACTTGCATATATCAGTTTGAGGTCCAACTCTTTGAGTATGCGTACATCCCTCTCAGCCTGTCAAAACCAAGAAATCACCAAACAGTCATAAATCATGTATTACATTTTTAACATTTTTTGGTAGTTTGGAGGAATCATGCAAAAGAAATATTCTATCAATGAATTGCTGCTTGGCTAAATGGTCTCTTTCCTTGCAAATAGCAGAGTCTCAATCCTTTTTCTTTTCTGAAAAAAATACATGGAAACAAAGGTCGATAAACTATACTCAAGTTGTGGTCAACTCTGTTCAAACCATTGTCCTCATAAAAATATGAACCTGCAAAAATTTTGTGCCACACAGCATATAGAAATAAAGAAATTCACCATACTCAGAGTTGTAGTTAAACCCTGCTCTAACCTTTTTTCCACAAAAAAGGTTCAGGGTTTCTGCTAATTCTGGTTCATTAATGGCTGTTAAGATTTAAATTCACAATAACCTTTTACTGAGCCCTCAAAGAAAATATGCCCGTCGTTTATTTTCATCAGAATTAGGACATTTCTAAGGGGGATGATCATGAATGTATAATGTACCAACCTGAGTATCAACTGGGTCAATAATAACAGCAGCTCTTGTCTTGGGGCATCCCAGTAAATATGTGTAGGTGTAGGACTCTAAGTCAAATAGCTAAAAAAAGAACATTGCCAAATAAACACTTGTCTGCCTTATATCTCTATGAATTAAACTGTCAAGTAGAAATAATAATAATAGCGGAGCTCCATGTGTGCACAAAGTGCGTGCAAGAAGAGTCCCCCAGCTAACAAAATTTTGTTATCCATCCATCCAAGAAATTTTGGTGGTCACATGACTGTCCATCCAACCATCCTGCCTGCACTACAGGGAAACCAATGTGAAATCTCAGGCTTCCTAGCTATATAGTGTGGTAGCCTGCAACCTGATATTGCACATCCATGTTGTGGCCAATTGACAGCTGTCAAAACAAGGTTTCCACTGACAAGTATCACAAGACCATATCGCAGGCTCAGGTATAGACCCATCGAGGTCAGGTTTTTTTTTTGAGTCATCCACTGACAAGTTACTAGTTTTCAAGTGATGGCAGGCTCTACTCCAACTGGATTTCTTTTCTTTTATTTATGGGAGGTTCACTTTTAGCCTTGGGTAAATCTCTCTGTTGTCGTCCAATTTTATCCCTGGTTTAAATTTTATTTTCCTTTGTTTTTGGGTTACTATGTACAAAAGGAAATAGAATTTTAAGCCACAGATAAAATAAAATTTATTGAACCACAACATATATATAATTTTAACTGTATTAAAAGTGGGTAAGTGACAGAAACATAAAGGCCACCTGTCCCATCCAGGAGGCTCCCAAATATGGCATAAATCTCCTGGATAAAATTGAATTTTGAGCTTTTCCATGCTGTCCTATGGAGTTCCGCCCATCTCACCCACAAAGCGAATCATGGCAATTTGTACAGCATGTAAGATTTTCATACAATGTCTTGAGTCCATGGGGCTGGGCTGATTTGTGTTTAGGTGGGGGAGGGGTGGTTGATGGTAGTGAGTACTGTTAAAGAGACAGCCTTCAGATTTTTGACGTCCAAAGGTATCTATAAGAACAATATGAGTTCTGTATTCTGATCAGCTTCCGCTCAAAGTCCCATAAAAAAAACTTATCTTCTTGAATTATATACGCTTAGATTTGCCCACAGGGCCCTTTGTGTTCGATTTGGTTGGTTGAAAACCACAAAATTTTTTCAAAACAAAGAACATCCCACGTACACACCCCCAGGTTTGGTTTTATCTGTTTACTTGTTCATATGTCACAAAAGAATCAGATTCAAAGTTAAATGAAGAAATAATTATTAAGCCTAAACTTATATCAGAAAAACACGTAAACTTGCTAAATTGTCGACTCTTCGAAAGAGCGTGACATTTCACACGATCCTCGCTAGTCAGCAATCGAGATTATATTGATTAACCAGCGAAGAATAAGTCATTTAAAAGCCATGGCACGTCTTGTTATCTCACCCAATCTTTTTAAAATGACCATATGTTTACCTGACGAAAGATCGCTCTTGCCTTGCTACCAGCCATAACAATTTTTTGTCCCTTCAACTCTTATTCGCCGGCTTCCTGCTGCTATCGACTATTTATCGACTTGTAACTTGTAGTTTCATCAGCTTGGCTCCAGTCCTCTCTCCGGTTCTCCAGCCTCCAAAGCATCAGGGGAAGCATTCCTTCCGCCAAGATGGCGGCAGGGTTGGTTTTTGTCAAAGTTGTTTTGTTGTGTACATTTGCAACCCTGACGAGGACACAAAGTAACAGGACAGTCTTTTCACCATCCTCATCCTCAGGTAACTCACACGAAAGCGTTTTGGATCGGTGTTTTCAAAAATGCGCGAGTTTATTATGCGTGATTTCTGTTCCTGCATTAGCATGTCAACTCATAGACAAACATATGCATTTGTCTTGTCATGTACGTGTGGAATTTACAGAAACCGGTCGTTTCGCCAATGGTCATTTCGCAAACGTCTCTGGTCAGTTTTCAAACGTGTAGAAGTCAGTTCACAAACGTCCAGCAGTCACTTCGCAAACGTTATTTACATGTCAACCTGTGTTTTAACAAAACGGTTCAGAATACGGTCAGTGTAAAACGTAGACTGCGGACTGCGGACTGCAGACTGCGGACCAGGGGTAAAATGCAGACTGAGTGTAAAATGCAGACTGCAGACTGAGGGTAAAACACAGGTTGCGGTAAAATGCAGACCGAGCATAAACTGTAGTCTTGAAAGGGTTTAAGGGCAAAAAAATCCCCTAAAATACATGTAAACAAACACTTACTTGACGACATCTGCTTTCACAAATCCATTCCTTTCTTCTCTGGAACGTCGTCGACAACCTGAAAGCATAATCGCAATCTTGAACCTTTTTTTCCGTCCGAGAGACTTCACGCTTCAACTTCAGATGTGAAGTTTTCGATGTACGTGACCAGGGACCGTGAACTGGTACACCACGATGTTTACGCCTAAATGAAAGCTGCTGACCCAAAATACTGTACAGGAAGAATTATGGCGATACAAAGGGAGTAAATCATTCCAACAACAAAGAAAGATGTTCTGCAGGAAATTTGGATGACCTTCTATGAAAGTATTGCAAATCAAGGTACGCAGACTTAAGCTGTTCTGATGTTCATTGAAACTTCTGGCGAATGTGCAATTCACTTCGATTAGGAAGCGAAGTGTGTAACTGATACCGGCTACCTATTTCACCAATTTGGAGAAGAAGGAGCACAAATGTTTAAAAAAGTCTACCGTCTTTATTCTGCATTTTGCACCCAGCCTGCGTTTTACTCTCAGTCTGCAGTCTGCATTGTACACTCAGTCTGCATTTTACCCCTGGTCCGCAGTCTGCAGTCTGCAGTCCACAGTCTGCGTTTTACACTGACCGGTTCAGAATACTATATTTTGCGTAAATTATTGGGTGTGAAATTTCACATTACAAACATTTACATGACAACTATACGATTTAGAATACTACATTACATGTTGTATGTGTAAATTATTGGGTGTGAAGTCTCACAGCTGATTTCATGCTAAAGAATATTTCATAATCAAATGGGCAGTGGAAGACTCACCACACTGACTACAAGCTGATTGGATACAAACAGACCGCCATTTTGAAGTTGCTTTATTCAAACCCAGTCCTTTAGGATGATTGTTCATTCCACTCGTGCACATGTGTGTGGTTTGGCACGAGTTTTGTTTCATACAGCTTACCTCATAGAAAGCACGCACATGCTATTGTTATATTAATAAGAATTAGTTGTCACCTATTTAGTGGAAAACGACAAATCAGTGGTGCCGTATCTAATCAACTACCAATCACATTGCTGTTATTTTGATCTGCTGCCACTGGGCACTACAGTATAAAAAGGGCTGCGAATTCTGTTCATTTCATTCAACGTACAGATGTACCTTCTCGATATAGTCATTCGACAACTTGTCACTCTGTGTCACTCGGATCGCCCACATGTCCCCGCATGTAATAAAGTATATTGTAATTTAAATGAATTGGTTAAGTTAATAGTAGTTGATGCCGCTTGTTTTTTTTGCTCAGAATTTGAAAATGTCTGTATTGGGGGGGCTGTCACTTGAACAGCCCACACTTCCCTGCATGTAATCCATTTTAAGTGTAAGCAATAAATATGTTTGTGTATTACAGCAACTTTGTTTAAACATTCCTGTAACAGCTTAGACTTGCTCACAAGTCGAGCTCAAAATTTCCTCGATGGCAAAACACGAGCGGGAGATATTTTACATTTTTCTGTGGCCAAAACGAGCGATAGGGTGGAAGGTACAGTGTACTACCGCAACTGGAAATGGGAAGTGAAAGACATCGAGACTTTCAATGTATGACACTTAGCAACCATGTTAATATTTTTAACTATTCTCGGTCATAATAGTTATGGACCTTCCTTCAAAGAGGCTTCTTTGCACCCCATCTTTACTGTGCTTCAACTTCAGCAACAACAAAAACAAGAGTTTGCACAGATAATTCAAAAGTGTTCGCTGTGCTTGTTAAAAGTTATCTTTAATTTAGCCCTTGGCTTTGAATGCAGTAAAATTTAGACTTAAATCACTGGTTGAATAATAGGTTGTACATGTGATTTGACTGGCAATGGATGTGATGTGAACTGCTGTTGTGATCCTGATTGTACCAGTGCAGATCAACAGGCATTTACAGAATGCAAGGATACAGATACAAAGTAGGTTTCATTTCCATATCTTTAGAGTTCTTGTTTTGTGAGACATTGTACTTAATAATTACATTGTACCTGTACCATCTACATAATTATGTATGTATACTTAGATAAAGTTGTGTGGAGAAGAAAAATATTTTTTAATTTACAAGTAGGTCCATCAAGGTTTTGCTCTTTTGAGTCCAGCTAGAGGTAGTTTATTATGACATATCACAATTGCATATTGCTGAAAGCCAGAAATTGTCTTTCCTTTTTCGGGATTACCTTTAGGTTAAATCGCTCCAAATCTATGTTTCAGCTGGTTTAATTGGCCTTCCTCGAGAAAATTAAGAAAAAAAGTCAATGTAGCCTACTGGCATTCTTGTTGAGGCTATTAGTGACAGCCCTGGAAAAGGAAAAAAAGCATTTTGTGGCAAGTGGTTTTGGGAACAAAGTTCATGGGTGCAGTTGTAGTTTTAAAATTATGTAGATGCACTTAGATGCACCCTACAGCTGTATATTTGGTTTGATCGAGTTTAAATCTCCATGTGAGGTTTTTTGTACCTTTTTCACTTTTGGCTTTACCTTGCAGCCATGATGACCGTGTTTGTCTCTCCAATGCAGCCCTCTTCACCTTCAGACAAAACACACAATTTAAGACAGAAACTACTGGTTCTGGCCTCTTCTGTATTATTAGGGATAACTGTAAGTTGTGAAATATTTCCTCAATTAAATGGCTCTTTCATTACAGTTGACTCCCGATAACCTGACCCTCGCAAACTCAAACCTCACGCTAACTTGAACCAAAGTTGATTTCCCCCTGGGTTTCCTTCATACATTTACATTTACTGTAATTTTACCCTCGGTAACCAGAAAACTTGATAACTCGAATTAATTTTTGTTTCCCTCATACAATTTCTATATAATTATTTTTACCCTTGATAATTTGAACCATGTTTTAAGCTTGTGACAAGTTGCAAAAAAAATAACAGTGTACAGAATTCCGAATCATTGACTTTATTTATAAACAACAGTCTTAATTCTTTGTTACGTTTAGGTCAACCTAGTTCAAATTCATTGTAACCAACCCTGTATAGTTATAGCAGAGCTCCACCCACGCGCGCGAGCAGAGCCCCATAGCTAAGTAAATTTGGTTACCTATCCATCCAAAAAAATTTGGTAGTCACCTGACCATACGCGCGTCTACCCTTCCGTCTGCACCACAGGCTCACCAATATAAAAATAACTCAATCATCAGGTATGGAAACCCAAATACAGCTCAGGGTTTTATTTGGAAGGAAATTGCTCGAATCTGCGTTTTGTTTTTTTCTTGCCTGTATGAATTTTGAAAAAGGGTTTTGTGATTCTCTTTTTGCAACAACCATGTTTCCTGCCTCTATCCATTAACATCATTATATCAGAACATCTGAGGGGCAACTTTGCCTTTTACACCTGGCATTTATTTGGACTTGCAGCATCAATTTAATTGAGAAAGAAATTGTTTAGTATACAATGTACTGTTCGGTATTTAATACATGATGATCCCTGTATTGCATACTATATGTCAGGTGCATTTATTTCAACCAAACCACCTTGTTATCTACTTTGCAAGCTCACTTGTTATAGAATAGATGTGTGTCTTCTTTGCTCAAGCAAGGAAAACGTCTATAAGTATAATTTACAGGAAAGGAAGATATTATTCACTTACTACATACTGCGTATCCTTAAACAAATTGCATCAGTGTTCTGTGTACAATAAACATGTAGTTCAAGGCTGAATTAATTGGATTAATGGAGAAAACATCGCGTGTCACTTACATGTAATGAATTTACATGTTGGTATTGTACATTGAAAGTAATATAATATTATGGTTTTCTTCAAGCACAAATGAGAACATGCCCATTTTTTCTTGTTAGCTTGTTACTGATTCATTTACAGTGTTAATTTGCAGTATTCATTCACGTATCTGAGCGGGTACATTGTTGTTCTCTAGGTGTCAGGGTTTTCAATCCTTTTATGCTTTGATAAATTGATGCAAGATGACCACTCACGCTAGGTGATAGAACTTTATAATTTTCGTGTTTCACTCTGACACAGATGGAGGACCATAGATTCTTATGAAACTAACCCTTCTTTTAATTTGTGATCTATCAGATGAATCTCGTAACTTCTATAATGATGTTCAGACTGCCAGTACAAGTGAGGAGTTCTCCAATCTCAAAAGTCAGTCAGTATCAGCTGTGTATGATTATCGCAGTGAAGGCACAGGCCAGACAACTGCAGCTTCATCATATAAGGTGATTACACTTGCATGTATTACTCAGACACATATTCAAATTTTAGCACCAAACAAAGGGTGGGGTGGGTGCCTATAATAAAAGGGCTACAAGTAAGTGATTGGCTACTACCTTCTGTAATTCTATCAACTGTTCACTTTAGTGTTATAATTGGATGGAGTTTTGTTATAATCTGAACAATCAAGGTGTGTTTTTTAACTTTAATAAATACTCTGGATATCAGAAAAAATGAATGTAATAATCAAATTGTTTTAGTTTATACAAAGTTATTGCAAAATGCATTGCCATTCAGAAACACAGTTTATTACATTTGTCCTTTTCCAAATAGATTAAAAAAACGGAAAAGTGGAGATTGCTCTTAAAATATCATGCATTGCATAAATGTCACCTACAAATGTACATCGGCTGCGATAGGCACTGAAAAAAAAAGCAGATAGTGAGTAAAGTGTGCAAATTATTGAATAGTGATGTAAGATACGAGCTTTGACAAACATTTTGTTTATTTGACTGCGAACAAATGATGGTGTTACATTTTCTGTACTTTACATTAGCAACATTTTGGCCGATAATGTCTGTATTAATGAAACAGAATAGCAAATGCACTTGTAACAGTACCTTCTCATGAACAGATTGTCTCAGGTAACTGTACAGGTATACCTGTAACAGAAAGCTATAGTGTTACATTTACAGTAGATCACTGGTACAGTATACAATGTCCTTGTACTTGTATCATCTTGTAGTAGATACCAATACACAGTACAAGTACAACTGTATCCATTGGAAGCTTGTTTTGCAATCCCACTGGTTCTAAAAATGCTTTTTATTTTCCTTTTGACTAGGCCTGTCACTAAGATTTCAAGTTTGTGTATGCAAAAATTAGGCAAGAAGTTGAACAGCTGCTAAGTTCTTTATGTTCTATTTTCCTTTTGTTTCTTTTCAAATTAGCAGCTGGTTGTGCTCACGGCTAAAACCCAGTCCCTGGCCCTTAGTGAAAGCCCTTCCTTCATTCCCTTTGTACTACAGTAACTATGTCTTGTTGGTGAACGTCTTTTTTCATTAATTTCAGGTGGGTGATCCAGTGCTTCTTTGTTTAACAATGGTGCAAAAGGATTCCCTGTCTTTTTTCAAGCCACTGTTTGGAAGTGAATGTAATGACAACAACCGGCAGGTGTGTACAGAGTTATTCCTTTTGTTTTAAACACCATCTCTCATTATTAATAACTACATGTATAATCAGATATTGAGGAATGCAGTGGTTTAAAATACAGCTGTATATTGTAACAGCGGGCTTGAAAAAAATAAAATAAATAAATAAATTCAAGCACTTCCTCTGTAAGTAGCTCACACATTTTGCATGCCTGGGGCAACCACTTTCTTGTTTTAGTTAACCCTTTAAAACCCAAGATCAAAATTTGAATTCTCATTTGTTGCCCCATTCGCTTCCTACAGAATTAGTGGGAAGAAGTTGATAAAATATCAATCAAATTCATCTTGTGTGACCATGTCCGTAATTTCATGACTAATTTGTCTTAGAGAGCATAGATATTACAAGGAGAAATTTGATGCTGATCACTGTTAGGGCTTTTAATGATTTAATTGCAATTGATGATGACTTGCCTGACCCTCACCCATCGAGCAAGTAACCTTTTAAAGTTACTGGCCCAGCAAAAAAAATTTTCAAGCTCTGACCAGCAGGTGGTGAAGATACACCTTTCATGATCATTGAGAGGAGTGTAAACCTTTCATAAGGCCTCAACTGCTGTTTAATAGACCTTTTCACCGCTTTTTGTCAACCGCTGACATGGACAAGTTCAAGAAAATCTGTTGACATCACTGAAAAGAGCCTCTTAAAATTAGTAAAATTGCCAAGTTTGAAAAAAGATTTGTTGAAAGCTAATGAAGATACAGCTCCTCAAAGTTGCAAAATTTTACAGACATTTGTATGGCTCATTAATTTTATTTGTCAGGATATCGCATAAGGACAATAGCACAGAATGTACTAGCATTCCAGTGCTTTCCTCAGCTTGTAATAAGACACTTCCAACAATCAGTGCTAGAAGCTATTATGAAGGATTCACAGTGGCAAAGGTACAGTTACTGAACACGTGTGTGACTGATTTTAGAAGGAAAGAATTACTTTAGCTATCCAGCTGGAAGGTTGTTTTAAGGCCACAGTTTGAATCATTCATTCATGGGTTGCCAATAAGAGCAAAGCTGTGATTGGATGAGTGACTGTACCATAAATGTGGCAGAAATAATTTCCAGAAAATAAAAGCCGAAAACTGATGGTCAAAATATGGGGAAAGGAATGTGGTTTGACTATCGGCAGCCAACTAAAAAAGCTTAAATGTAGTTGTTTATGT